TTTTAGACTCCAGGAGCTATATCTTTTGATAGCTGGACACCATTAGCTTTCTTCACCACATTTGCTTATGCACCCATTTTGTCTTCAGCGATCATGTTGTGAGGGTGAGCATCACAGGACACCAGGTTGTTAGAACAGTGTTCTTGCATTGAAGGAGGGCTTGAGCAGAGGTCCAATGTCTGTCCACTTCCTAAATGTATTGGCATATAAATATATGTACATAGGCCAATATCTCTATTTTTATGAATTAATATATTTACGTAAGTGCACACCTGTTTATACCTCTATCCATCGCTTTGCTTCCTAGATCTTTCCTCTGTTTCCTTTTCCCTTCCTCCTGTCCCACCATCACACTCACCCTTCTTCTGCCTCTTAGTAACTCCTCTCAGCTAGATTGTTGGTGCTCCAACACCACTGGGACCTCTAGCTCCTCCTCGTTGTTGCTTTTAGTTCCCTAGTTTCCCCTGCTGATGGTGTTGTCTGCTCACTGCTCCTTCTCGCCGCCTCCTCCTCCCCCCAATTCCCAGTCAGTCCATTGTTTTCTCCTCGGGCTTGTTCCCCATACTTATTTCTTAATTTTCTCATCTAACAACAGGAGCACCGGGCGGGTGATTCTTCCTGGATGCCATCTTGACGCTCCGAGAGCTTTGTGACCCTGTACTGACACGGTTAAGGTTAGTAATATTTCCATTGTGTTCAGAATTCTGATGGTCTTCAGTGCTTTGTCTCCGGCTTGATGCTACTATTGAAAAGCACCAGTGAATTGTATTTACGTGGTTGGGCAATCTGCATACGTGTGGCTTCTTGTAAAGCTGAGATGTAGTCTACGGCTCCGTGGCTGTTCTTGTTGTTTCCGACGAGTTTGTACTTGTCTTTCTTTTACACTGATGTATTTGGGTGTGGATCTTTTCCTTGCATCACTTGCTTTTAACATAGCTTAGTTATTTCCCTCTAAACCAGTGTTCTCAACCTTTCCAATGCCGTGACCCGTTAATACAGTTCCTCATGTTGGGGTGACCCCCAACCATAACATTATTTTCATTGCTACTTCATCACTGTCATCTTGCTACTATGATGAATCCTCATGTAAATATCTGATATGCAGGATGTATTTTCATTCTTTGTATTTCATTGTTTTCATAATGAAAGCATAGTGATGAATCACAAAAACAGTATGTAATTGTATATTGTGAAATATTTATTTCTAATGACAAATAAATAACATTTTGTCTTGAAGCATGGT